AAATGAAGTGACTACCTTAACACTATAATTGGCTTGCCTCGAATATTGTAAGTTATTTGCTACTAACGATATTCAATTTCGGCTCGCATTAGCCTATAAGGTATTAAGATATTATTGCTATGCACATATACAGCGAAACGTAAACATTCGCTTGTTTATTCGCGGAGTCAACAGGTGGCCATGCATGTACCTAAGTATATAGCTACAAAACGAATACAACCACGCAATAAAATTTTATCTTTTAGATTTCCTCTCCCCTGGTCAACACATTTTACGTACTTTGGCATCGACCTATGTAGTTTGTGCACCGTCAAACGTAAAACTCCATATAGCCCTAGTTAAATTTTTCACTTCTTCCTTTCATAGGAACCTAGTAATAATCCATGGATGGAATAATAATATTTATCATTTATGGATCCCTGGTTTAGTTTACCAAATGAAAAACTTTTCGTATTAAATTAATCGATTATCATTTTAAAGTTAGAATTTTACTTGCTTTCACGCGAAAGATTGTTTGAACACTATGACAGTCACCATGGTTACTATTGTCAATACTCAGAAAATAAGATGATAATACTTGGAAATAGGATCCAGTTGTATATGAAAAATATGCATTTATTTCGTTTATATCATACTTTATCACAATACCATTATCGGCATTCAGCGTATGGGGTAAGTTTATTATTTCCTACACAGCGCTTGCATATGTATATCTCGAATTTGAGACTTTGTAAAATTTTTGTTCAGATTTCATTAATCCAATATCCCTGTTTTATCTTAGTTTAGTACGACATCACGAGTTTTGTTATACATTAGAAATTTCTTTTTCCTTTTTTCTCTTTTACTCCCTAAATATAACCCGTGTTTATGAACTGAAACGAAGAGAGGTCGAAAACAATGAAATTGTTTGTGATGCTCGTTGGACTTAACAACCTGTTGCTAATAAAACACTGCGATATAACATATACAGGTATAGAGTACAAAATCGCCATGCTCTTTCAATAGTTTATTCATTTTCATACCCCAAAAAAGTAAGTTAAAGAGAATGTTCTCGCATTGGGTCTTCAATGTTTTATTTATAATCAATCCGAGAGCGGAAACTTGTTTAATGTTCAAAGTTGTTTTCGTAGTAAGAAATGTTTCAGAATTGTTGCATTTCGTGTTCTTTAGCATTATCAAGGAAAATTTTATATTATTTGCGCTGCATATATATAAACTATTTAGAAATTGGCAATTACAGAAAAAAACACATTATTCAACTCTTAGCTAGCTACTTTCTTATTTTCTACAAATCGTTATAAATCCGTGTTAGCCACACACTTTGTTTGTTCGCTTAGACAACAGGTGGTCATGCAGTTTAGTACAAAATTAAAGTGAAAAATATTAAACTAGAATCAGTTCTATGCAATCAGTTGATATACTGTTATATTTCTAAATAGCTCATTATTTCTACATTTTTTCAAACATCAAATCAGACTGATTGGTTTTCGCGAAACACAAAGTATCAATTTTGTTTTTCTGCATTATATATCGTAGCAATAAATAACCTTGTGAATATGTTTTCAAGAATATACAAAATATTTGTTTGTTTTCATGAACAAGTTCTTTTACGATTTTCTAAATGTTTTGATTTTCTTTAACCTTTTCCCCTGCAAAATTTGAACCTGTACTCACTGCAAATAAACAACTAGGATAGCTATATGCATGCATATAATTTTCCCTTTAAAATAGGGTTGTAATATGTTCCTTGAAATATGTACCTCACCATACCTCAAGACCAAAATTATTTCTGCGCAACAAGTTCATCATCAACTTACCAAAAAATGCACGTTGTTGTTTTTCTTTTCACTCTTTAACGCAGGAAAGGACTGTGTGGCGTCGGAATGACGAAAGACGGAGATATTTCTTCTTTTAAACGGTCCTTGAAAATCCACTTGTTTTGTTGGTTGTTGCTTCAACGAAGTGTTTATAGGCGTTTGGTTTCCCCTGCGGTGACACACGTTTTGAGATGATTTATTAATGCTTTCGGCACGAGCTAGGGTACAAACAATAAGTGGATTGTTAGAATTTTGTTGTTCGTTTATATTTTTCATAGGATACAGCAAACGTATATATAATTCCATTATAAGCATGCCTATATATATGAATCTTCAATTCAATTTTTCCTGTGAAAGAAAACAATTTTATTTCCTTCAATGCATGGTACAACTATGTAACATTGGTTTCCATGGTGACTTTCGTCAATACTTCAAATCATATATATTATTTTGTAGGATCGTATCATATGTGTGAAATATGACATGCATGCATTTATCTTTTGGCACAAAATGATATATGATGCAGATGATGTCTTTGCATGTCATATTTGTGATCAAGGGGTTATATTTTAGACAAAAACCTTAGACAAAAAACAAGTGCAGTTTATATACACGTGTTATGGAAACCGTTTCTATGTAATTTCCAAACATGAATTTCAGAACTCCGTTAGTGAGCTAGTTCATGAAATATTTTCTCGTAAACAATCGAATACATGCACGGCTTTCAAAATCACATCTTCATTGAGCGTTGTCAATAACGCGTTTTTCTGTTTTATTATTTTATATTGGAAAAGATAAGACTTAAAACGTCCCGAAATGCTAGCGTGCGCGCGAAGTGATTATTTACTCCTGCGGTTATTTTTTTACCAACCTGATACTATTTCTATAGCACGTTTTGACGCTCGAAAGACGCGAATGTGGAAGTTGATCGTAGGATACCTGAGCATTCAGCCTATAACCTCAGTTAACTAAACAATTGGCATTAATTCCTAGGAACTATGACCTCTTTCACATAGCACTTATGTAAAACTGATTTGCATCAATTTTTGTACAGTGCCTTTATAACAGGAAAACCACCTGCTGGTTGCGTTTGTTGTTTAGTTATATAATTTGAAAGGATCGAGCAAACTTATAATCGATTTATAATATATGCCTAATGAATGTTCAATATAATTTTTTATGAAAAACATAATAATTTTATTACCTATAATGTATCGTGCACCTTTATTTCCCTGGTGACTTTTGTGAATACTTCAAATCATTTTGAACTAGGATGGTATCATATGTGTGAAATATAACATGCATACATTTATCTTTTGAGAAAATTGCGCAAAAATAACATGTGTTCCAGGTGATGTCTTTGCATATCCTATTTGTGATCAAGGGGTTAGACTTTTCAGGCTAAAATCTTGGACTATAAACAAGTCCAGTTTACACACTTAATTGTTATGGAAACCGTTTCCATGCAATTTTTAAACCTGAATTTCAGAATTTCGTTAGTGACTTATATTTAATAATATTCTTGTATGTTTGCATGGTGTGAGTCAATAAGTAATTTAGCTTGTAGGTACACCACGTAATTATTTAATACTGCAAAGCTTTCGGTCCGTTAACCCCAGCCTTCATCAGTGCAATTACATGAATACACATTTACACGTCACTTAGATATCACGTTAGTCGTGATTTGTTAGCTCGCGCCAATAATTAAACGGTTTTACTTACCAAATAATTATGAAAAAGAAATAGCTCTAATTAATGGGCATGTCCTAAACACGTATTTAGCTAGCAGACATTGGAAAGAGCACGCCACGTACTATTGAGTGGCTTACCCTCTTGGGCGATAGTTACATGTTTATAGATTTCAATAGATTCTCTCATTTTACGAGAGACGGTATACTTATCATTCGCTAAAATGATTTATATTTAGTTCATGAAGTATTTTCTCGTCAACAATCGTGTAGCTACACATGCACGGCTTTCAAAATCACATCTTCTTTGAGCGCTGTCAACAACGTGTCTTTCTCTTTTATCATTTGACATTGCTAAGGCATAATTCTTCTCCAGTGTAATAAATTTTATTCTAAACTTTTGTTGTGAACTGATAAAAAAACTTAAAGCGCTATAAAGATGCGACTATAACGTTCGGAAATGATAGCGTGCGCACGAAGTAATTATTAGGCTACCTCTGCGGTCTTTTTTTATTCAACCTGGTGCTATTTCTAGCCCGAAAGACGCGAATGTGGTAGTCGGTCGTGGGATACCGGGCAATCAGCCTAGCCTCAGTTAATTAAACATATGCCAACACGGAGGAATAAAAACATTTTTGGCTCTTCTCACAACAGTTACGAAAAACTGATTTGCATCAATTTTTTGATAGTGCTGCTTTAGCGAGAAAACCACCTGATAGTTGCCGGAATTAAACAATTGTGAATTTTAGATTTAGCTATTTGCAGGCAGCAGCGGAGCCAGCCTGATGATATTCCCGCGATGCTAATATTTTAGTGCTCATTGACTGCGAAAACAATAGATTTCTAAAGACATGAATAATTATAATAACTCAAAATTTAAATAGCGCGAAAAATCGTCAGGCTGGCTACGCCACTGTTTGCAGGACTACAAGGAGAAGTATATAAATATGCGTATGACGTACCCTGTAACAAACTACTGGCCTTATGCACTGGATAAAGCAACTACATAATTATATATGTATGCATGCAGCCAGAATTAATGAATTTTCAAGCACCAATTTAAAATATTTATGAAATAACGCGAACCCTATGAAGATTCTTTCTGAGTAACTATGTATTTTAATAGCTAGGGCTTCTGTTCCATTAGACTCTGAGTCCTTCCTAAAGTCTTGTGTTGATAGCAATGCCAGTAACTTGTATTTTTCTCAGTCCAAGATGTCTGGAAGCTCATTAATTAATCTTGGTTTTATTTCGTAGTTGTATTTGCTATATCCAGTTTATTATCAGATCTGTGTTCTGCATGTGTATATGTGCAAAACTAAGGAAAAAAACCTGTGATCTGGTAAAAAGTTTGAAACTTATAACATTTCGTAAGTGGGGAAAAAATTTTTGGTGAAGAAGCAAGCATTTGGCATTAACATGATTTGCTTAAGATTATATTCCGGCGATGTTGTCAACATCAGTCGCTCGAGTGGATACGCCAAACGTCAACTTATCACATAGATTTTAATCCTATTTTATCTACTCTATGATTACACTCACAAAGTCTCGGGTTATGGTTTTTCTACCAATCTATGGTTTAATACAATAGTTGTGATTAAAAAAGCACAAAATTTATATTTACATAATTTATGTTTAATATTTCATTTACTCCATTCCAGGCGCAAGTAATTCTCTGATTCGCGATCGCCAACAGTATATTAATTATGCGCATGAAAACGAGACATGGTGTTGGGAAAAAATGTGACACAGCAGTAACCCGCGATACATGCCAGGTCAAGGTTTATATACGTGTTACATGGTTTTCTTGACCGTAATTTGATGGTCCATCTTTCCCTGCATGTCTTTTTTCTCGTACATTATCGTTTGGTATAATTTGCACAACTTGTACATCTTGTCCTGGGTTGTATGACTTAAAAAAGCATATCAATAACGCTGTCCCTAAAAGAAGTCCCCCGATGACGCATGCGGTGGCAATAAGCCAAACTTGGTTATCAAACCGTGAAAAGGCGAGGGAAATAGACAACATTAGGACGTTTTGAAATCCATGAGAAAATTGCAACATATAAATGAGCACTTTTGCTTCAGCGTATTCAAGACTTAACAGAGACTCGGAGATACCAAAGAAAACAGAAAAAGTTAACAATAAACTTATCATCAGATCCATGCATCCGTGGCCGATCGCAAAAATTAAACACGGTGTAACAAAAACTATGTGCACTACAACGATCAAAAACACGAAATATTTCAGCACATAAGCACAATAGATTATGGCGAATAATCTAGACACCAAAGAGAAAAGTTGGGAAAGCAGAAACACCGCTTTGCTTTCAAATTTTAACTCATCCCCGTTCTTTTTATGTCGTGTTATTTCGATGTTTGTGATACTCCAGACCAGTGTTAAAAGAGAAATCAAAGTTGAAAGCAGAGTATACCATGGAAAATACGACTGACGTAACATGATGTAAACTTGAAGACACCACTGCGGTGCAGACTCGGTTACAGCAGCAATATGGTGCAACTGTGCCAGTTCGTAGGAAGATTTTGCGAAGTTGATTTGTTGATCTCGATACTTCATACAATTGTAACAGGGACACGTTTCGTACGTTTGTTTGCATGTCGACCTTTTTAATTCATTCAAGATATTCCACCGCGTAATTTCTTCCTTATATCGGAAAATAATAGAGGTGCATGTGCAGAACGAGAAGGCGCAACATATCTTGCCGCTTGTTTCAGTTTCATTTTCGTTGGAACGTACTGGTCCGGTTTGAAAGCAAGCTGCGAAGTTGATAATAATTATCGGAAGGATGATAAATATCAAAGTTAAAATGAACCACCAGAAGTGGCCATGTTGATACAATTCGACAGCCACAAATATATCGGATCCCACGTCGAAAATATACAACAGCAGCCCAAAGATTAACATCGCTACATCCTTTTTTTCTCCCATTTCTAAAAAAAACAAAGTTGTCTATGAGCCATGTGAAAACTCACAGCGATGGAAGAAAATATGTAAAAAGTTCTTTTGCTTGAATTTGTTTATGTTGCCATGGATGTATTAAGTCTCACGGGGGCTTATATAATCTCACGTTAGTGTTTCATTCAGAGATATATGAATTTATACTCTGATCAGTTTCCACGATTACTGCCAGTGGCAGCCATCACTTCCGGGCTATAAAATTCAATGCTTTCTGTGTTTAGACATTGATAATTTTCCTTTACTCTTGTCTTTCGCTAAATTATTCATGTTTACCAGGAAACGTGAATATTAACAAGTCAACCTCATGTTGCTAATGAAATACTCCGCCGATAACAAGCACATAGCCTACATACGCACGTGACAAAATCCCATCATTTGGTAGTTTATTTATATTTACTATCTTAAATTGCCCGCATGGCATCTGACGTTCTACATCTGGTCTTCACTCCTAGCTTAAAATCGGTTTCTTGCAATTGGAAAAATAACTTAATAAAGTCCAATTTGTTTTCGATGTAAGAAGTGCTTTAAAGTTGTTTCAGGCTGCGCTCTTTTGCATATATAAAGCAAGGAATATCTTTTAGACTATATGCGTGCACTGCATCTGCTATTTAGATTGGCAGAAACTTGCAAAACTGTTCAAACACTCATTATTTCCGTTTTCCGCGTATTGCTAAATCCAAAATAAACACCAGTTTGTTGGCCTAGACAACAGGTGGTCGCCCACAGAAGAACAAAACATGTATAAAATTATCAAGGCGTGAAATATCAACTTATACACTTTTTTGTGCCATAAGACTTATTTTTTTCTTATAATGTCTGTTCACATAGCTAGATTATATAAGGTTTCGCGCTGTTCTGTACTGCGTATACTGTAGCGACGAAACTTGGAAACAAAGGCAAGAGAGTGTACGATTTGTTTTGTATGTTAGCCAATTTCATAAACAGACCCTTTGACGATTTTCTGGATAATTTGAGTTTTTAAACATCTTCCCAAGCATGTAGCCTCCATCTTCTATTTGCTATGATATGCCTCACTTTTTGTGCTTAAGGAAACCTGCACGTTTAATTCTTGTTCTTTCAAGAATCACCTTTTCCGTTGCGGAAAGCCTAACATCTCCCACACAATCCATTCAGTAAACTTACCCAAATACCACCAAAACTAGCTTCGACTCTCGCTTCAACCCATAATTAAAGAAACTCTTTGGACGTGGAAAATATGAATATGCGGTCGGCGATTTCACTTCTCTCGTACGGTCCTTGAGAGACCTTGTTTGCTGTTGCGTCAACGAAATGTTTTGGTTGTTTAGTTTTCGCGGCGGCCACATTCCTTGTTTTGAATGTTTTATTAATGCTTTTGCGTAAGCCCAAATATTGAATAAATTGAATAATTGAATAAATAAATGGTTGTTAAAGTGCTCATAAGAAAAATACGGTTTGATTTCATTTCGCTAAAGCTAAGAATTCTGTCTCGGTATTCCTTTAAGTGGAAGTGATCATAACAGTGTGAAGTCCTCAGATAGAAGTCTTGCCCATATTTCACATGTTTTCGATTTTTTGACCAATCTTAATTAGAAAAAGCGAGGATACAGTGTCAAAATCATGCGATTTTAAGCTTTTTCCGAGTCCTTTGGAAAAGTATTTTCCCCATTTTGGACCAGGGAAGGGACTGGACCCTAACCGCTGCTAATCTTCTTGTTGTTGTTGTAATTGTTGTTAGAAGGCGACGCTTTTTAAAAAAACCCTAAGGTTCTACCATTACTTGTTTGATCGGACTGAAACTTGGCAAAATTATTCTAAGCAATATTCCGCATCGATTCCCAGAATTTTTACTTTTGACCTTTGAAGCAAGTTACAAGCAATTCTTGACTATATTTGCAGCAAATAAGGAGTAAGGAATAATAGAGTAAGGAAATAACATCCTAAAACAACCTCTAATAGGTATATACGAGATTAGATTTGAGCCCGTCTCTATTTCTAAGTATAAGACTACAGTTAAAAAGTCCATTATATGAACGAAACTCTCCGATATTTCGCTGATGTTTTACCTCTACTGTGCAATATGAATCCGTCGAAACTCTAGCTCTTATAATGTAAGCGTTTGGTGACACTTTTTCTAATCAAAACGTGTTCATTGTTTATGTTTATACATACTTTCAGTTAAATTACTACCAGACTTTCTAACACAGAAATATGTAAGCGATGTCTGTTTCCCTTGTTTATACTCTACAACAAGAACTGTTGTCATTTTTCTAAGGGCTATTTGCAGTGTACAATCACATTGCACTTTAGGAGAGGCTGGGCTGCTTAGTTCCCATCACGACCCCAGCAAAGCAGTTTTCCTAGAGTATGAAAACCGTATTCACTCTTAGAACCAGTGTCTCCAAATCGCAGCTGTGTGACAGGTAACGTACTTCTGTCGATAAGAAAGCCACTGTCTTCATGTGATACACCATTGTTTTTATAGCAGTTACAGACCTGACCTTTAATTGCACAGCTGTTGTTCATTCCACAGGCACATTTTTCACTGTCAGCAGCTGCTCCTCCCCAGTAATTCATCTTCTTTCCTTGTCGAGAAACCCACCAGGATGTCTCGTGTAACAGATTTGCATTATGACACTCGTATTTAATAAACTGTTCGCAGTTTCTTGATTGGTTTATGATTGCGACAATCTGCTCCAAAGTGATTTCGTATTTGACATTCCTCACGTACTTACCTTCTCCTTCAAATCCTGAAACATAAGTTCTCGCTTCACTGTCGTGCGAGATTACTGTGACACCAACGCCGTCCTTCGAAGTCATGTCGCAGAAAATAGGAAATGACGATGAGTTCAAATTCTGAGGATTGATTGGATATCTTCCAGTGGTAAGGCTGGGGTAGTTCTTGCGAAGTGAAGAACACGTGACATTTTGATGAAAAGGGTCTAAAAGAGGTAAAGAAACCACAGATGAACCAGAGTTGATAGAAATATATACTGCGGATTAAAACATTTAGGGGTTTTCCATTGAGCAAATAGTTTTTCTCTTCTGTGCCTACTATACCTGACCACCCTGGTAGAAATTAAATGTCAAATTCATGCATACTAATCTGAAACTTTAGATAGCGACGAAAAATCTCTGGTATGATTCTGGGCTATGCCATTTATGCATGGTATTATTGTAAATTTCTACAAACGTTAAAAGTCTAAGTAAACTATCGGGCATGGGGACATCCATCTAATTTCTAATTGCTATGAGTTCTAGCTGGCTGCAACCTATTAATCCTATTTCAAATATGGATTTTCTTAAAAGGCAATATAACTCAATACAGTAAAGCACTGTATATTTTTAGATTTTTAACTACTTATAGCAACTTACCAGATTTGCCATCTCCTACGTTGATCTAACAAAAAACGAAATTATATCCTTCAAAGCCATTTCTATTGTTTTTGTCTTAACTGTTAACCATCAAGCCGATTAAATTAAAAGGGGACTTGCCTCAAATGATTCAGCTTTATAAGTTAGCTTCTGCGGCCAAACAAACATCAGTGACAGTTATCGTTCTATAATTTTATTTTACCTCAATAAAACTTTCATAATATGTCCATACTCCGAACGAGCTTCCGTCATATCTTGCCTTTTTCCTCTTGCTCAGTTGGCAGTTTATTCCATACTCACCATTGATTTTTTGCCTGTAATTGAATCCGGTACATTTGTCTTCGATGAGACAATAGAACGAGCAATCTGTCGCCTCGAGAACTTGTAGACTGCGAATGATATCTGCTGTGTGTAGTGGGCCGTTTGCTAAAGTATAAAGAGTAAAAAAATCTTGATCGCCACCTGTTTCGAAACTGCGACGAAAAAAAATTATTATTCGTTGGATGTTGCCGCGCATTAACCGAAAAAAATGGGCTGTCTTGTGGAAAGTGGCTGTCTTTAGTGTCTTATTTCATTAAGTAGTGCGAGGAATTGCAAGCTAACTAATTATAAATTCAACTTGTTGATTATACCAAAACGCAACGCGCGACGCAATCATTTTTATTACGGTGGATTCCGCTGTCATCTTTTCTCATAAACGCAGTCACATTACCTAACAGACTATTCCACCTACGTTATGACTGTTAATTTTAAAAGCTCGCAATTTATCGTTTTTCACATCCTACCTTCGTGTACATTTCTGAAGAATTTCTGAACCGACTCCACGTGATTACTATATTCAGTCGCAAACGCCGGTTTCAAAGTCAATATTGCTATCAATATGAACAAAGCCAACATATTGGGGGGTTTTGATATTAATAAAATCTGAAAATAAAAACATTCTCTTAATATTAATACAAGTCAATTTTACCGTTCCAGGCAAAACATTGACGTCTGTACAATATAACCATGAACTTTTTTACTCTTGTCGTCTGCAATAACCTTTAAATTTTGTCAAATTTAGGTTTAATCTATTATATTGAAAAAGTATTCTAAATGCCAAATATAAAATAAAAATACTAGCAGTAAATATATAACATAAAAGACGAAATATACCAAAACACCTATATAAGAACTAAGATCAGTAATTCTTTTAATCAATTTATGCCTTCAATTTGCAAGATGATTGCCTACAGATCGCAAGCGAGGTGATTGTATTGATTTTGTAAGTCGGATTAGTTTTTAATAAGCGTCTGACTTCGCGTAAACTCATTGGAGATTGCTTCCTCTGAATTTGTTTCGCTCACGACCTGACATTTCCTTAATTTTTGCTCTACTGTTTCTAGTAATTGTTTGAGCTGTATATTCATCTTTTCATTTCGCTTTTATTTGCTGTACCGCACCCATCTCCGATAAACACACGGGCTTCTAATCTTCCTGCTCGTCTTCTCGATATATTACATTTTAATTTTCCGGCATTTTAGTGAAAATAATTTTTAGTCAGCTTTGAAATTTACTGAATTTGAAAACGTGAAAAACGTAGTACTACATGCTCGTAGAGCATGCTCGAAAGGAATGCTCCTAAGGCATGCTCGTAAAACATGCTCGCGTATAAAGGAGAGAATATATTAATATCGCTCCAGCTATACAGTACGATAGAAAAAACTATTGTGAATAAACTAATATAGCTTACGCGACTTTCAACAATACAGTAATGTAGGTATCTCGTCACAAAGAATGCCAGTTAACATAAACACCTTGCCAGCCAACGCAAGAATAAATTTTTACGAACGAATTAATTTAGACAAGTCGTCCTGTGTGTGCACCACGGTGGTTTGCGTATTTGAGCAGGGATCGTGTGAAACGTCTGTTTATCAATTAACGCTTGCATCTGTTCAGTTACAAATTATGCATGATATATAATGGTAAAAAATAGGAAAGACAATTTATTATATGGATAGGGGTATTTTACTGAGAACTAAAACACTCGTAGAACTCATACGTCACTACATCCGGGACCAGGTGTGCGTATTTTCCGTATGTCCCGTTTAGGGGTGACATAACGAATTTCAAAAATTTTCCCGCCATTTTCTTTGTTGTTGTGAAGATACAAATGACCTTTGGTTCGTATATAAAACGAAATTAACGTTAGAAATACAAACAAAAACACATAAGACATCCTTAGATAAGGAAAAATTAGTCTACTTTAATGTTTAGGTTATAATTTAAAAAATATTTGCTTTTATAATGGTCTTCCGCGGCTAATTTTCTTGTCGCCTTTGTGTGTATTTTTTGCACTTATAATTTAGTCCATATAATTTTCTTGTCGCCTTTGTGTGTATTTTTTTCACTCATAATTTAATCCATATAATTTTCTTGTCGCCTTTGTGTGTATTTTTTCACTCTAAATTTAGTCCATATGATAAACAGAACATTACACGGTTTGCTCGAAGATATGGATTTTATGTTCTCGTACGTGGCAGGAACCATATCTCACTCGTTCGCTGCGCTCACTCGTGAGATATTGTTCTTGCCACTCGAACATAAAATCCATATCTTCTCGCAACCGTATAATATCCTCTATATATGGAACAGAAATAAACCGCTTAGACGGCAGGTTGTTCTGACAATCTGCACTCAAAGTAATTATATTAAAGCACCTGGCCAACCTAGCACAATTGAGCTGTAAGATGAACGTTTTGAAGTTATGTTGAGCTAGCTACTATAATATACATTTAGAATATACCCGACTATTGCCTATTACAAATCCTACATTCTGATTGGTACTCAACCATTGTCTATTCGTGATGGTGAACGTTTGGGAAAAATTCGCTCGCGCGACCGTATAAAATTCAATTCATTAAATTATTTTTCGGTGTAATTGCGGTGTATCGATTATTTTCTCTAAATTAATATATCTAGGTTAATAAGACAACTCGCCTTCGTTGTCTATGAGCAAATAGTCAACAAAGGCGAAGCCAACTCGGACTCGTTGTCTTATTGTTAATTACTACCACATATATACTAGCTACAACTGCTATTACAATTACCACTACCACCAATACTACTCTTATGCACGACTATCACGATTGGTGGTATTTGATGAAAGGCTCGCGTGAAACGTTTGTCACTATATTCACCGCAGACAACGCTTGTGTTTATAGTTATATATTATGCATGATGTAAAGGTAAAAATAGGAAAGACGATTTATAAATGGAACAAAATATATCACTTAGCATGACAATGGATAACAGGCTGCAGGTTGTCGTGTCAATCTATACTCAACCGCTATTACAATAGCGCCTGCACAATCTAATTTGAAGTAGTACGGTTTGAAGTTATAGACAGGTCCTATACTGGTGCATTTGCAAGTGCAAATACAACTATAAATACAACTATAAATACAAATATAAAACTACATCTGGCTACTTTGTAAACTCAGTAAGCTACGATGCATTCCACTAACTAGTTGAAGTCAAACTAAAAGTTGTTTGATACGTGCATGGAACCAACGGGGCAGAACCAGCGAAACGCGACGTAAAGGTTTCGTGAAAATCATTCCACATCATATTGTAGTTTATTAAAAAAAGGGCTTGTATTTTAGTATAGTGAATATGCCAAAAGAGAATGTGTGTTGCAAACTGCTTAATCAGACTAATTTTACGTTCGGTATTTATAAGAATTTGCCTTGTTTATGATAGATGTTTAGTTTAGATTTCTTAGGTCCACTCAGCATGCTAACTAAACTGCTGTTTGTAGAAAAGCGCATGCATTTTTCAGCCGGGTCAATATTTAGGTTTCATTCTCACGTGCGTTTATTGTTGTGCGCAATTCATCAATAATATATTTTTCCTCCCTGGGACAGTAAATGGTCTCCTCAATTTCTTGTGAGGGATAATGATTATTTTCAAGCCAAAACCTTATTTATTAGGCACATTCTTTTTTCTCCATCTTTTTGCATTTAAGGAGTTTCATATAGATATGTATGAAATTTGATTAATAAAATGAGTTCGAATAAGATTAAGAAGAATAAATATTTGTTTTGCATGTGTTGAAATATTTCAAAGACTAAATTTAGACGCATATATTATTAATAATTCACGTTAGAATAAATTATAGAATTATTACAGACAGTTTGCTAGACGGGAGAGCTGTTGCATTGTTGGGAGCGATTAAATGGAGTCATTTCAGCCCTAGTTGCGGGATAAAAATTCAGCCCGGGATTTTTTTGAAACGCTGATAAAATATACCTCGCGATTATAGAGAGAATAATACATGGATGCGCGGAAATATGGGATTTATTTCGAGTGATGGAAATGATATCGAACGAGTGAGCGCAGCAAACGAGTGATAGGCGGTAGTTACGTCTCTAAGACTCACGTAAAATGAATTTTAAAGGCTGCATGACTTCCGTTTTAGACTAATTTCTTACCTCGGCGATAAAAAGGACATTTTCTGAAAGAGCTTACTAAAATAAGTAAAAGTGCAAACGTTAACTGCGAATTGTTGTAAATTATGGGAAATATAGTCATGCGAAGTTCACGAATTCTGTATACTTTTGTATAATACCGATGCCCACCAACTTTTCTAAAAAGATAAAGATGTGTGCCCCTTTTTTGCCCAAAAGATGTTCTCTTTGATTCAATAAACTTGCCTTTCTTAGGATAAGTCATTAACCCGGGTGCTCACAGCTATTGTCATAGAAACGAAATTTCATTTTATTCATGTTTATTTATCTTATTTATGTATATTTATTTATACACGTAAACCAGTGACGTCAACCTAGTATTATGCGCCCGCGATGCGCAAGAAAATTTCCTTAAGGAAGTAGTGTAATAAAAATTTACATTTAAAGTGCAACAAAGTTTTAAGAGTTAGTTTAATAATAATAATATAAATAGAGATATAAAACACGACTGTATTTTTGGTTTTACTTCAAAATCGATACAATTTGTTTGTGATTTCGTACCTTGGAATTGAAGATGTTATGGCAGTGTTGCTGGTAGCTAATAACATGTGCCATTGGTGTTTGCACACGGAATTTAAAAGATTTAAAAGGCATTGTTGATACTTACATATTTGTGATCTGGAAAGAGGTTAGTCTGAAATTTTATTTAGTGAGTGAACAAAAATTTTACATACAAACAAAAGATTACATACAGCCCATGTTGTCTACTTCACATTAGTCCCTCGAATGGATACACTAAACGTCGGTCTATCATTTAGAATTATAGGCTTATTAATTAACATCATAAAACAACGCTAGCAGCTAAGCAAATGTCTAATAATAAACTAAAATTTCCGATATTTCGGATATGTTGTTTGCAACAATTCAAAACTATTTCATGCGTTTGGTGAACACTTAATTTGTTACGTGCATTTATTGCATATCCATATATATTAACACATACTGCAGGTTATAACTGCCAATTATTACTACAAGATCACACTAGGATACGTGCTATCTACATTTATTTCCCACTAAAATTTATTTATAATCGGCAACAAGAACAAATGTTTTCCAAGTCTTCATTACAGAGACACAGTGTTTAGACGCCATCGTGACCCCAGCAAAGCATCTTCCCAAGAGTATGAAAGCCGTATTCTTCAGTATCGCCAGTATCCCCAAATCGAAGCTGGCTAACTGGCAAAGTGTTTCTGTCGCTGAGAAAACCACTGTCTTCATGAAGAACGTATTCGTTTGCAGCACAATTACAGATTCCGCCCCCAACACAGCTGTTGTTCATTCCACACGCACATTTTCCACTGTCGACAGCTGCTCCTCCCCAGTAATTCATTTTCTTTCCTTGTCGAGAGACCCACCAAGAATGCGATTTATACAATATAAACGCACGATGACACTCGTATTTGATAAACTGTTCGCAGTTTTTCGAATGGTTTATGATTGCCACAACCTGTTCTAATGTGATTTCATATGTGACATTCTTTACGTATCCACCATGCGGTTCAATTCCTGAAACATAAGTTCTCGCTTCACTGTCGTGCGAGATTACTGTGACACCAACGCCGTTCTTCGAAGTCATATCGCAGAAAATAGGAAAAGGTGGTGAACTTGAATTCTGGGGATTGATGTAGTAGGTTCCGTCAGGAAGGCTGGGATATTTTTCACGGAGAGTGGCACATGTGAAATTTTGTTGATTTTGAGTTGATGAGGTCTCGATCTAAAAATGAAAATAATTATATGTCCTCAGTTATATCTATCTTTTTTCATAAAGGGTTTCGTGAAGGAAAGGTTTTGAGGATTGGGGGGGGGGAAGCAGATAACAATTTGTGAGCAAATGCATCACTACTGTCTTAAACACAGACTTCAAGCACTGTTTGCCGACGTTATATAAATTATACACACTTGAACACAGTCAGTTGGCGGAACGTAAAAACACCCCAGGTAGGTAACTCGATCAACAAAGCGTTGTAAAACGGCACTTCTATTGATCCAGAAGTCGGCAGACAGTGGGCATGCAACATCCAGGGTAACGGCAATTATAGGTGTCGTACTTTTGCTATAAAATTATGTATTTTATAGTAAAAGTTAATAGCCATTATTGTTTAAAGTTATATTTAAATTAGTTTATGTGCAAATCATCATGATCAGAAGTTTCTAGTAATGCAAAGTCGTCGGAAGAGTCGGCTGCAGACGAGAGCAACTGGCTTTCGCCAATAGCCAGGAATGACTTTTTTGCTAAGCACATATAGCTCTAGTGTGCGCTGGCCTTTAGGTGTGAAATGCCGCTCGACTTCTTACTTAATATATTAAAAAGAAAATGCCGCCGCGTACTCTTATATATTAAGCCAGCTGAATTAAGAGAAGTTCCCTAAATTATTCCTAATAAATCGATTTTTGCAATATGTTTCCGTTAATTTAAGTGTTTGGAGGAAATAAGGTTAATTTACATGCAGCTTAATTAAAACACCGCGAAATTTTGTTTATATTTAATTTAGAAAGTCGGCGGACCCTTAAAAGCCTACACAGACAAGACGCCATGCATGGGACAACGCGCGACGCGAATTTTCAGTTTTCAGAAGCATCTCTATTGCACCAAAGAAGTCAAATTATGTTGTCGTTAAGTAATATGCAAGAGCATATACAATAGGATAAAATTTATTTGCTTTTAGGAAATGAAAAAAAGTCGCAACGCGTTGCCAAATTGCGTCCTGTGAATGTGCGCCTTTAGTGAAAATATAATAAAATTGATCGGTCAAAAAAGCTTGAATGTTCAATAATAACAACAACCGATGACCGAGTATCAGAGTCGCGAGCTAGCTATGTCCACGTTTGAATTTCCCACAGGCGCAATAATATTATTAGCTACGATAGATCGCTGACATTCAAGGATCGTTGGCAGTCAAGAGCTGGTGAAAATAAATAGTCTGCAGCGCAATTTTTTAAATTCAAAGTAGCTAAATTCTGAAACTATATGTATAACACTTGATATCTGCGTTGTGCATCGCCTTCAAGAAAACCAGTGCGTGACTTGAGCGAACGTCGAATTTCTATCCATAACGGGATCGAGCCGAAGTCAAATAATCCAAATTATAACAACACATATATCGACACTGAACCAAGCAAGTCCGATTCCTTTTAAAACACAAAACACGCTTTTTTCCGCAATTGTTATTTATGTATCTGCACATTGAATTTTCTGTTTGTAAAGTATTTCGACACAGTTCATGAGATTCTGCAGCAATGACCGCTGCTTCTAATATTTTAAGTGGGCGCTCAGAAGGTTCGCATTTGACTTTGACTTTATACAATGAAAACAATTTGTAGGTAAATTTTCTTTAACTCTGAATAAACATGGCAATATTTTTACTTACAGGTTTAATGATCACAAGATGGTTGAATTCGTAGTTTGTTTCTTCTTCATCATCGGTTCTTGCCTTAGCTGTTTTGTAGTTGAGTTCACAGCGACCTTTATCTGCGCCAGAGGTTTTGTAGTTGATTGACGCACATGATTCATGACGAGCGCAAAGCAAACCACATTCAAACTCAAACTCTGCCTGTTTTGTTTCGATGACATGATTCGCCAAGTATTTTTGCTTATTTTTTCGAAAGACGACTTGCTTCGAGCATTCGCCGAGCACGAAAACGAGGAATGGAACAGCAAAGCTTAGAAAGATTCTCATTGCGGCAATTGTTTAAAGCTCATAAAGTCATGAACTGTTAGTTTTATAGTTAACAGACGGTTGATCTTAATTAGTTATAAAGTAATTATACTCCTCAAAGAGTCGATTTCGTTGCGCACTGTGATTGGCTGCTGGATTCCTGTTTTTTACTCTAAATTTCGAATGTGTATAATAAAAACATTAAGCCGCCGTAAAATTTTTTTTTGTATGCAAATTACTGTTTGTACAAAATGTCATATTTAATCGTTAACTAAATTAATTTTAAACCCCGTTTACACTACAGTCAATTTATTGTCACGGCACGGCTAAAAGGATACGCGTTACCTAACTTTATTAGTGTTCAGGCTAACAATAAACCTGGTTTTTAATCAGTCAAAACTCAAAACCTGCGACAAGTTTTCGAGCTGTGCAATTCAACAAAGTGAAAAACGAAAGACTACGAAGTATTACGTTCTAAACATTAATGCGTTAACTGGCTTACGTAACTAACTTTTCTGCTTTAAATACTAGTTTTTCTTCAGTTAACTTTGTCTGAATTGTTGCGAACATTTAATGGTGATTAAAACTCCTTCTTATTTGACCTAGTGTCGCTCTGTCGTGCACGAAATATTATTTCGGGAGAGGCAAAACTTAAATATTTCAGCAAGTACCGTTAATGGAACCAATCACCCCCCCTTTCCAAATTGAAAACAGGGCTATTGGCAGGGGGGTGAATCTTCCAATTACGGTACTTCCCAAGAGACGATTCCACTTTCGATTTAGCTTCAATTCTCGTACATAATTAAAAAAACTCTTTGGACGTGGAAAATATGAATATGCGGTCGGCGATTTCACTTTTCTCGTACGGTCCTTGAGAGACGTTGTTTGCTGTTGCGTCAACGAAATGTTTTGGTTTTTAGTTTTCGCGGCGGCCACATTCCTTGTTTTGAATGATTTATTAATGCTTTTGCGTACGACCAATTAGAATTGAATAAAAAATGGATGTTAAATCGCCCATAAGAAAAATACGGTTTGATTACATTTTGCTAAAGCTAAGAATTCTGTCTCGATATTCCTTTAAGTGGAAGTGATAATAACAATGTGAAGTCCTCAGATAGAAGTCTTGCCCATATTTCACATGTTTTGGATTTTTTCACCAATCTTAATTAGAAAAAGCGAGGATACAGTGTCAAAATCATGGGATTTTAAGCTTTTCCGAGTCCTTTGGAAAAATTGTTATTAGGGGTGACGCTCTTTAAAAAAACCCTAAGGTTCTACCATTACTTGTTTGATCGGAATGAAACTTGGCTCAATTATTCTAAGCAATATTCCGCGTCGATTGACGGAGTTCGAATTTTTACTTTTGACCATTGAAGAAAGTTACAAGCAATTCTTATGACTATATTTGCAGCAAATAATATATACATATCATTAATATTCAGCCTATAATATAAGTAAACGCAAACGATTTGAAATACATTGTCCTCTCCATTGTTGTAAATACAATGCAGTTCAGAAACTCGGTCACGCAGTTCCTGGTCCACTATAGTACGATCGTACTTGTTTGTTTGCGAATTGAGATTGCAAAGGTTTCTTGATTTTAACACGAAAACTACCTGTTGGTTGCAGCCGTTTGACAATTATTTTACTATTGGGGTGTTTGCTGACTCATCGCGGGCGCAATGTCCGTAAACTTTGCTGCTGTTTTTAATTTAATAAATAGAGTAAGGAAATAACATCCTAAAACAACCTCTAATAGGTATAAGAAATGAGATTTGAGCCCGTCTCTGTTTCTATCTATTAGACTACAGTTAAAAGTCCATTAAATGAACAAAACTTTACGATATTTTGCTGAACTTTTACCTGTACTGTGCAATATGAACTCATTGAAACACAGAAATATGCAAGCGATATCTTTTTCCTACTAAATTTGTTTATACTCTACAACAAGAACTATTGTCATTTTTCTAAGGGCTCTTTGCAGTGTGCAATCAGATAGCACTTTAGGAGAGGCCCGCCTGCTTAGTTGCCATCACGACCCCAGCAAAGCAGTTTTCCTAGAGTGTGAAAACCATATTCTTTCTCCAAACCAGTGTCTCCAAATCGCAGCTGTGTGACGGGTAACGTGCTTTTGTCGATAAGAAAGCCACTATCTTCATGTAGTATACCATCGTTTTGACAGCAGTTACAGACCTGACTTCTATCTGCACAGCTGTTGATCATTCCACAGGCACATTTTCCACTGTCGACAGCTGCTCCCCCCCAGTAATTCATTTTCTTTCCTTGCCGGGAAACCCACCAGGATGTGCCATAGAGTAACAGATCTGCATTGTGGCACTCGTATTTAATAAACTGTTCACAGTTTCTTGATTGGTTTATGATCGCGACAACCTGCTCCAAAGTAATGTTATATGTGACATTCTTCACGTACGATCCTTTTTCTTCAAATCCTGAAACATTAGTTCTCGCTTCACTGTCGTGCGAGATTACTGTGACACCAACGCCGTTCTTCGAAGTCATGTCGCAGAAAATAGGAAATGGTGGTGAGCTCAAATTCTGAGGATTGATTGGATAGATTCCAGTGGTAAGGCTGGGGTAGTTCTTGCGAAGTGAAGAACATGTGACATTTTGATGAAAAGGGTCTAAAAGAGGCAAAGAAACCACATGCAGATGAACCAGAATTGATAGAAATATATGCTGCTGATTAAAACATTTAGGGGTTTCCCATTGGGCAAATAGTTTTTCTTTTCTGTGCCTACTATACCTGACCACCCTCGCAGAACTTAAATATCAAATTCATGCATAATAATCTGAAACTTTAGATAGCGACGAAAAATCTCTGGTATGGTTCTGCACTATGCCATTTATGGTATTATTGTAAATTTCTATAAACGTTAAAAGTCTAATCGGCCATGGGGACATCCATCTAATTTCTAATTTCTATGAGTTCTGGCTGCAACGTAATTCATATAAGGATTTTCTTAAAAGGCAATAATTATAACTCAATACAATAAAGCCCTGTATATTGTTAGATTTTTAACTATTTATAGCAACTTACCAGATTTGCCATCTCCTACGTTGATCTAACAAAAAACGAAATTATATCCTTCAAAGCCATTTCTATTGTTTTTGTCTTCACTGTTAACAATCAAGCCGATTAAATTAAAAGGGGGCTTGCCTCAAATGATTCAGCTTTATAAGTTAGCTTCTGCGGCCAAACAACCATCACTGACAGCTATCGTTCTATAATTTTGTTTACCTCAATGAAACTTTCATAATATGTCCATACTCCGAATGAGGTTCCGTCATATCTTGCCTTTTTTCCCTTGCTCAGTTGGCAGTTTATTCCATACTCAGCATTGATTTTTTGCCTGTAATTGAATCCGGTGCATTTGTCTTCGATGAGACAATAGAACGAGCAATCTGTCTCCTCGAGAACTTGGAGACTGCGAATGATATCTGCTGTGTGTAGTGGGCCGTTTGCTAAAGTAAAAAAGTAAAAAATCTTGATCGTCACCTGTTTCGAAACTGCAACCGAAGACTAAAAATAGTATTCGCTGGACGTTGCCGCGCATTAATAAAAAATGGGCTGTCTTGTAGAATGGATTGCGTTAACGAGGGTAAACTCCTGCATAAACTAAAGGCTAAAAAATCGAAACTTCTCATCCATGAGAAAATATCTCCTAAAAGATGCGTTCGGGTATACGCTATACGAAATTTACCAGGAGTATTAAACGTTTTGGGTGACCTCGTATATTCTGCAGGTGTTTAAAACTGCACGTAAAATAAACAGATTTTATTTTTCCTAATACTAAAAACTTCAAAGATAGACTAAGTTTTGTAAAAGGTAATTACAATGCTAATAATACTGAAACCAAAGTTGTCGCAAACCACCTCATGAATTAGTGCGACGAATTTGCAAGCAAGCTAATTATAAATTCAACTTGTCGATTTTACTAAAATACAACACGCGACGCAATCATTTTTATTACGGTGGACTCCGCTGTCATCTTTTCACATAAACGCAATCACATTACCTAACAGACTATTCCACCTACGTTATGACTGTTAATTTTAAAAGCTCGCAATTTATCGTTTTGCACATCCTACCTTCGTGTACATTTCTGAAGAATTTCTGAACCGCCTCCACGTGATTACTATATTCACTCGCAAACGCCGGTTTCAAAGTCAATATTGCTATCAATATGAACAAAGCCAACATATTGGGGGGTTTTGGTATTAATAAAATCTGAAAATAAGAACATTCTGTTAATGTTCATACAGGTCAACTTTTCCGTTCGAGGCAAAATTTTGACGACGGTACAATATAACCATGAACTTTTTTACACTGCATGTTCTTGTCGTCTGCGATGACCTTTAAATTTGGTCAAATTTGGGTTTAATTTATTATATTGAAAAAGTATACTAAATGCTAAATATATATAACATAAAAATATAGGTAGCAAATATATAACATAAAGGACGAAATATTACCAAAACACTTTTATAGAAATTAAGATCAGTATTCTCTTCGTCAATTTATGCCTTCAATTTGCAAGATGATTGCCTACAGATCGCGAGCGAGGTGTTGTATTTGTTTTGCATGGATGTCGGATTAGTTTTTTAAAAGCGGCTGACTTCGCGTAAACTTATTGGAGATTGTTTCCTCTGAGTTTGTTTCGCTCACAACGACCCGACATTTCCTTAATTTTTGCTCTACTGTTTCTTGTAATTGTTTGAGCTGTATATTCATCTTTTCATTTCGCTTTTGTTTGCTGTACCGCACCCATTTCCCGTAAATAGACGGGCTTATAATCCTCCTGCCTATCTTCTCGATATATTACATTCTAATTTTCCGGCTTTTTAGTGAAAATAATCTTTAGTCAGCCTTAAAATTTGCTGAATTTGAAAACGTGAGAAACGTAGTAGTACATCTCGTGAAACATGTTCGTAATGGATCGAAAGATTAATTTGATATGCCTGCAGCCAGACACTACGATAGAAAAAACTACGGTGAATAAACTAATATAGCTTACGTGACTTGCAACAATACAGTGATGTAAATATCTCGTCACAAAGAAAGCCAGTTAACGTAAACACCTTGCCAGCCAACGTAAAAACAAATTTCTACGAACGAATTAATAGACAATTCGTCCTGTGTGTGCACCACGGTGGTTTGCGATAATTGAGCAGGGGTCGTGTGAAACGTTTGTTATTCAATTAACGCTTGCATCTGTTCAGTTATATATTATGCATGATATATAATGGTAAAAAATAGGAAAGACAATATATGGGACAGAAATATACCACTTAGACGGCAGGTTGTTCTGACAATCTGCACTCAAAGCCATTATAATAAAGCACCTGGGCAACCTAGCTCAATTGCGCTGTAAGATGAACGTTTTGAAGTTATGTTGAGCTAGCTACTATATATATACATTTAGTATACACCCGACTATTGTCTATTACAAATCCTACATTCTGATTGGCTACTCAACCATTGTCTATTCGTGATGGTGAACGTTTGGGAAAAATTCGCTCGCGCGACCGTATAAAATTCAATTCATTAAATTATTTTTCGGTGTAATTGCGGTGTATCGATTATTTTCTCTAAATTAATATATCTAGGTTAATAAGACAACTCGCCTTCGTTGTCTATGAGCAAATAGTCAACAAAGGCGAAGCCAACTCGGACTCGTTGTCTTATTGTTAATTACTACCACATATATACTAGCTACAACTGCTATTACAATTACCACTACCACCAATACTACTCTTATGCACGACTATCACGATTTGTTGTATATTTGATGAAAGGCTCGCGTGAAACGTTTGTCACTATATTCACCGCAGACAACGCTTGTGTTTATAGTTATATATTATGCATGATGTAAAGGTAAAAATAGGAAAGACAATTTATAAATGGAACAAAATATATCACTTAGCATGACAATGGATAACAGGCTGCAGGTTGTCGTGTCAATCTATACTCAACCGCTATTACAATAGCACAATCTAATTTGAAGAAGTACGGTTTGAAGTTATAGACAGGTGCTATACTGCTGCATTTGCAAGTGCAAATACAACTATAAATACAACTATAAATACAAATATAAAACTACATCTGGCTACTTAGTAAACTCAGTAAGCTACGATGCATTCCACTAACTAGTTGAAGTCAAACTAAAAGTCGTTTGATACGTGCATGGAACCAACGGGGCAGAACCAGCGAAACGCGACGTAAAGGTTTCGTGAAAATCATTCCACATCATATTGTAGTTTATTAAAAAAAAGGGCTTGTATTTTAGTATAATGAATATGCCAAAAGAGAATGTGTATTGCAAACTGCTTAATCAGACTAATTTTACGTTCGGTATTTATAAGAATTTTCCTTGTTTATGATAGATGTTTAGTTTAGATTTCTTAGGTCCACTCAGCATGCTAACTAAACTGCTGTTTGTAGAAAAGCGCATGCATTTTTCAGCCGGGTCAATATTTAGGTTTCATTCTCACGTGCGTTTATTGTTGTGCGCAATTCATCAATAATATATTTTTCCTCCCTGGGACAGTAAATGGTCTCCTCAATTTCTTGTGAGGGATAATGATTATTTTCAAGCCAAAACCTTATTTATTAGGCACATTCTTTTTTCTCCATCTTTTTGCATTTAAGGAGTTTCATATAGATATGCATGAAATTCGATAAATAAAATGAGTTAAGATTAAGAAGAATAAATATTTGTTTTGCAGGTGTTGAAATATTTCAAAGACTAAATTTAGACGCGCATAATCATTTATTATTAATAATTCGCGTTAAAATAAATTATAGAATTATTACAGACAGTTTGCTAGACGGGAGAGCTGTTGCATTGTTTGGAGCGATTAAATGGAGTCTTTTCAGCCCGAGTTGCAGGATAAAAATTCAGCCCGGTATTTTTTTGAGATGCTGATAAAATATACCTCGCGATTATATAGAGAAAATAATACATGGATGCGCGGAAATATGGGATTTATTACGAGTGATGGAAATGATATCGAACGAGTGAGCGCAGCAAACGAGTGATAGGCGGTAGTTACTTCTTTAAGACTCGCGTAAAATGAATTTTAACGGCTGCATGACTTCCGCTTTAGACTAATTTCTTACCTCGGCGATAAAAAGGACATTTTCTGAAAGAGCTTACTAAAATAAGTAAAAGTGCAAACGTTAACTGCGAATTGTTGTAAATTATGGGAAATATAGTCATGCGAAGTTCACGAATTCTGTATACTTTTGTATAATACCGATGCCCACCCACTTTTCTAAAAAGATAAAGAGGTGTTCCCCTTTTTTGCCCAAAAGATGTTCTCTTTGATTCAATAAACTTGCCTCTCTTAGGATAAGTCATTAACCCGGGTGCTCATCACAGCTATTGTCATAGAAACGAAATTTCATTTTATTCATGTTTATTTATCTTATTCATGTATATTTATTTATACACGTAAACCAGTGACGTCAACCTAGTATTATGCGCCCGCGGTGCGCAAGAAAATTTCCCGAAGGAAGTAGTGTAATAAAAATTTACATTCAAAGTGCAACAAAGTTT